GACTTATCTGCATCTGCCTCTGGGAAAGGTGGATGATAAGCTGCGAGGCGTTGAAAACGGCCACAACTGCAGCGATGGTCGCAGCGGACTCCATGCTCGCAGTGCTGTGGCGTCCGCGCTGTCACTGTCTAGAAAAGTGCGCAAACTGATTTCCCGCCGGCGCTTTCAGGGAGGGAGGGCGGGAGTGATGGACGGATGACGACAGTTACCCAAAAGCACCCTCGACACATTTTTTTACCCAGAAGGCATTGGCAGCTCCACCCAGAATTCCAATGGGCAGCGGGGACTGCGGGAACTGTGGGATAGCTGCCCACAGTGCACCGCTTCCAATGTCGACGCTTTCCCCGTTAGTGTGGACTCACAAAGTCGAATTACTGTCCTTAGAGTGGACACACACGTTCAAATTTGCAATATCGATTCCAAAAATTCGATTTAAGTAAAATCGAACTACTCTCGTAGTGTAGACATACCCTTATAGACTAACAGACATATTGGAGCATAAGTTTTCATGGGTAATACCCACTTTGTCAGATGGATGCCATGAAATGTTTGAAACTCTGAACAAAACCCTATGGTTGTTCTTTCATACGTTTACTACTAAACATTGACTTAACACAGCTTTGAAACTTTACTATGCAGAAGAAAAAGGATGCTTTTAACCATCTTAATTTAAATGAAACAAGTACAGAAACAGTTTCCTTACCTGGTCAAATCGTTTTTTAAAAAACTTTCCCTTTATTTTTTAGTAGTTGACATTTAACACATCACTGTACTGTATTTGCTTTTTTGGGGGGGTGTCTCTGCTGCTGCCTGCTTGCATAGTCCCGGTTCCAAATGAGGTGTGTAGTTGCCTGGTCCGTTCATAACTCTGATGTTCGTAACTGACGTTCTACTGCAGGGGTAGGCAACCTATGGCATGGGTGCTGAAGGCGGCACGCGAGCTGATTTTCAGTGGCACTCACACTGCCTGGGTCCTGGCCACCCGTCCGGGGGGCTCTGCATTTTAATTTAATTTTAAATAAAGCTTCTTAAACATTTTAAAAACCTTATTTACTTTACACACAACAATAGTTTAGTTATATATTATAGACTTATAGAAAGAGACCTTCTAAAAACATTAAAATGTATGACTGGCAGGCGAAACCTTAAATTGGAGTGAATAAATGAAGACTCGGCACAACACCTCTGAAAGGTTGCCAACCCCTGTTCTACTGCATAGCAAATAAAATCATAACACATATTCTACAGCCTAAACTCAACTCACACAATGCCCTCTTCGCGAATACGGTACTGCTTTCTCCCTCCCCCCCCCCCCCAAACTCTCTCACAGCGTTTTTCAGTCAGGATAGCTGAGCGCCTTCTTTCATGAAGCCAAGTCCTGTGGCAACTTGTTTCACCTTGATGAAGAACAAGCAGGTGTTCATTTGCACCTCAGATGTACTTCCAAAAGTTCATTGTCTTTGCTCCAACACAGGATAAACCCTGTTTCCCCCCCCCACAAATCTAACATTTTGCTCAGACTGTAAATGGGCGTCCATTGTGAACCATTCAGTACTCAATTTCCTCACTGCCTAACAGGAGGGTGAGGCTCACCTTTGGGTGACTTTCCTTAACTCTCAGACCTAGATAACATATCTTTGGCGAACTAGAATGTAGATCCCAGACCCAGAGGATCCCTGTACCCTTATGCACCCTAGCTGGGACAAAGAAGTTCCTGAGTTACAGTCATACAGTTTAAATTCAAAGTACTTCAAATGAAATCAAGGGGCTTACTCTGGATTTACACCTGTGTAACTGAGAACAGCATCTGCCCACGACCCCTAACCACTCTGACAGTTTTACCAGATGCACAATTCGAATTTCTCACTGCTTTTGTGCTAGCATAACTCCATTGACTACAGTGGAATGATTCCTGATTTACATCAGCGTAAATGATAGCAGAAGCAGGCCAATCATTTTAAAATCACAGCTGTGCTGTATGCTTATCTGTTTTTAGAAAGACAGTAACTAGAATAGTTTGCTCAGACCAAGTGCTTCTCTGTTCATGGCATTTAATCAGCATGGGAGAAACTGACGACAGAAACAACGAATCAATTGGTTTTAACCAATGGGTGGAAATAGGAAAAGCCTGCTGCCTGAATATTTTTTCCCCCTGACCAGACTGAGATTACTGTACAATGAGCAGTTATAGCAAAGAGCTTGTATTCACTGGATAATAAAATATATCAATAAATGCTGTGAAATGATATGCCTGTAGAGACTATACTTTTGACTTAATCCTAAAATAACCTCATTTCTCTCACCCCCATTCAAATCCAGATGCCCCCGTTAAGGTTAAACTCAAAAACACCCTAATTTTTCATCTCTCCTTCCTGCCCCATGGAGCTATCCCGCCTTTGCTGTTTGATGATGACATTATGTTGCTGGTCAACTGATTTAATGACGGCTGCCAGGCTGCAAATAAAATACTTCAACTTGCCAATGAGAATCCAGTATTGTCAAAGCAACAATTAAGGAGCTGCTTGAGCAGCTGCCCACAGTCAGTGAGGAGTTTTCATGGGGTGCTACACACACTGTGTCATATGTTGTTTAAAATTTCGTGTAGATCCTGAATGAAGCAACATGACAGGACGTGCATTTTCCTGTCGTTTCTCAACCCAGGATCTGCCAAGTCCCATGCTGCATTCTCCACCAACCAAGCAGCTTCATAACTGTAGTTTGTGTATGGCGTTCTCCTAGCCCTCCTGCTTGTTGTGACCATCCTATTGTACACAAATATTAAATACTGAGAATATTGCCATCCAGACTCCTTCAGGGTTGGTGTTTGATGTTTTCTAGCAGGGCCCAAAATGTTACAACAGACCAGGAAAAGAGATTACTCCAGCAGCTCCGAGAGATCACTAGGGTCATGAAGGAAGGTAAACTCATAGATGGCATCTCCCCAGAGAAGGAAGCTGAAGAAGCTCCTTATATGGAGGATTGGGAAGGTAAATGCAGGCTTTTATTTCTTCTTTACTGTCATCTGAACAAAGTAGTTTTGCCAGAACTGGAATATTTCCCCCCAGATGCAAACAGACTCCTGCACAATTGCCTCATTTCTTTTCAGAAAGGTGGCCTCCAAGACTTTTCAATTATATTAATGAGCAAATGGATTTTGAACTATCCAGCATCTCACATTGCCTGGATAACAGTATCTGTTGCCAGAATTGGCAGATGAGCTTGAGTACACGCCATTTGCTACTTTGTCTTGGCTGACAGAGATTTATTTTTGTGCTTTTCTTAATTTGGCCAGGTTTTATTTTCTTCAGCATAATACCACAGAAATAAGAACCAATATATTTTGCCTTATTTACTTATTGGTTTTGTTTCTTTGCTTGCTCTAATATTGTAAAGATAATTGGAGACGTTAACTCCAGGAGTTCTGTCTTTCTAACATTCTGCTTTTTACACTCATTTTGATTTCTCATTGCTGTAAGCGTTGTATGGTTGTGTTTTAAAAACATCCTGACGGTGTTGTTAACTTGTTGAATTTTAAAGGCTCCCCCACCCGTAGACTTAATTTATTGCCTTTTAGGAAGCTTTCAGAATCGTTCAAAACATAAATGGTAGCCTCAAGCTCTGCTTTCTTAGTCTAGTTCTTCATGCATTTTTAAAAAATGAAATAAAAGCATTCAGTTTCATCTAGTTACCCAGCTTTGTAGAGGACGTTGTTTAATTCTATATCTGAGGTCTTCAAAACATGTCTTAGAGAGGCACTGAGGTATTCAGAAATGTATTTACTTAAAGAGCTATTGTCGGATTTTCAAAATATCGTCACCCAGCAGCTCCCATCGCTCTCACTCTAGCCCCAGTGGTGGGTGTGGAGTGCTTTTGAAAATCTGTTGAAAATGGGAGTTTTGCCATTGACTTCAAAGGGGCCAGGATTTCACCCCATCCCCTACAAGTTTGGGATGGTATTAATTTGAATTAGCTGTACTTTAGGGAGCCTCAGCAGAGTAAAAACTAAGTGTTGCTCTCATAAGACTTTAACATTCTTATGATAAACTCTAAATTCATTGAACAAATTTGTCAGCATGGTTTTTGTATCAGGATGGTCTATTCCTTTTAAAATTGGATTTAATATTTTAAGGTGCATGTCACTTTTGTTCCTAAGGTTATCCAGAAGAGACCTATCCTGTCTATGATCATTCTGATTGCTTCAAGCATAGACAGGACACAATCCTTGTGGATTACCCTGATCTGAACGAGCCCTCTGCTGAAGAGATAGCTGAAAGAATGGAGGTTATGGAAGATGAGGATTATTTGTGTAGTGAAACTTTACTGTCTGATCTCACTACAGAGTGCGAAAGCCGTGATATGGGACAGAAAAAGGACCAGCAGATCAGCTTCAGTGACCAAGGTGGTATCCTCCATCACAGCCATAACTTTGAGAAGTGCTACTGTTGCCACTATGACAAGGATGATCCTGCTGTCATAGCAGAGAATGCTGGGTTCCATGCTGACAGCTGCAGTGAGGCTGAAGACACAGCCAAAGATGATCTCTTCATGGATTCTGACAACGAAAATGCAGGACTGAAAAGCCAAAAAGCCAATGATCCAGATGCAGTAGGCACACTGAGAAAGCGAAACACAAAGGGACTTGAGTAAAGGGGACCACCATGTGTGGCTATAGCAAGATTCCTCAAACTCTCAGACCTGCACTCTTTGTTCTTGACCCACATTTATCTTCTCCGTTTCCAGCTCTTGGCACTATTTCCAGTCCCTTGGCCATGATCGCACCGCCACCACCATCTGAATTGGAAGCTAATGGCCCTCTTTAAATTACTCCATTATTACATCCAGCACTTGCTTGCTAGAGGCTGTTATGAACGGGAACAGAAGATATCCACTATTCCAATATCCACACTCTGTATTTACTTAATCCTGTGTGATTACTGCCTCTGAATAACCACCTCTTCCTCTGAAATGTTAGCTGCACTGTAGTGTCCTGCCTTGCCAGTATTAGGAATGGACTTCCTACCCCAACTGTCCAGAGCCTACCTGCTGACTTTGACAGCTATCAGTTATGAACACAAGACCATTTGCATCAGATTATTTAGGAAGATGTAGAGGACAGTGTTAAGTTTTATAGCTTCTCTTTTGCTCTGAAGCAGATGGTAATTATCTCCTAGCCTAACCGGCAAGGAGATCTGCAGGGACAACATGAATGACCAACTCCTTTTTCAACCACATGGCTGTCACAGTAATTAATTAATATATACACCACAACAGGATATGCATTCCTTGACCACTGGGGCACTCTTGGCCAAGTGCCTGCATGCACTTAAGAAATGAAACAGTGTCTCAGGGCTGCATATGCTCACATGGCTGATTGCCTTTATCATGTGGTGTCTTAATTTAAACCCCTCACAAAGTGTACACTAAGGTTTACATTGTACATTATTTACGATAGCTTCCTACTGGGAAAATAGTCCATAGAGGAACAAGAAGGGAAAAATCATAGCGAAAACATTGTAAACTCTTTTCTTCTTCTAGTTGGAATATATTTATTTTTAAATGCATTCATTGTAAAGTGTTGTGGACTCTTTAGGACCCCATCTTGCTCCATCTATGCCTTGAATAGCTTGATTACTTTCTGAGTATGTGTCCCAGCAAGATTTAGCATGGACCTCACTCAACAGAGAGACTGAAGGGAAGGTGGCTTTTACCCCCACCATAACTTGGAGCTGGCTAAGGGTTGCTTAACTTACCTCCTGCTAGCCCCCGTTCAGCTGGGTGGGGATTGCTAGCGCACAAGGTACGCCAGTCATCCCACGCCTGGCCCCTGCGCAGCCCCAAGCCAATCCCCTATGCCAGAAGTGGTTCGCATAGCACCAGTCACTTGGAACATGTGGACGCCCCCTTCACCAATGGAGCAGCTTTGTACTGCTACTGAAGGTTTGTTTGTTTTCCTCACCTCTATTTAATGAAGTGTTAAGCTGGAGCAGTAATGGCAGGTGATTACCAGACCAGAAGTTGTTTCATGCGTCCTGCCCAATAATACTGTCATGTGCTTGCAAACAAATGCTCTAAGGAGCTGCTTGGTCTCTTGTTTGCCTACATACAACCCAGCTGCTGAAAAGGGCACTGTTCTCAGTGGCAAGACATTATGCCACTTCATTTAGGAAATATGCTCCCGCCCTTTACAAGCGGCATTTCTTCTCCATGTAGCTCCAGCATCAGTGCTTGTAAAATACTTTATTCACTGCACTAACACTTGTGTGAGAAGCAAATACTCCAGGGGAGGGAATGGCAGTCGGGGGGACTGTGGACACTTCTGGCTGTTAACAGAAGTCTTCATATATTACTCCTGGGGGAATTCTGCGCCAGTGGATGAGCGCATATGTCTTGTGCCATGCTTTTTTTCCTCCCACCGAAAATAACGCCTGCTGGAAAGTTGCTGCAGTTCCACCTTTTGCCCACCAAGGGGCCCTGTGGCACTAGAGCAGAGCAGCCACTCCCAGCCAACCCCAGCTACCGTAGGGAAGAGAATGACCCTGCCTTCTTCCCAGTGCCAGTCAGGAGACAGGGCCTCAGACAGCATAGGGCTGCTGGGGGAATCACAGACATGGGTTCATAAGGGCTAGTCGGGGAGAACAGCTTGTGGCAGGGGCTGAATGAGTGTGGAGGCTGAGGGCCATGGGAGGGGTGAAGTAGCTCTTCCCCCCCAACTCCAGCCCCCTTCCACTGTCGCTCACTCTCCCCCACCCTCACACACACATTTTCACTGGGCTGGGGCATGGGAAGGGGTGAGAGCACTGGCTCTGGGTTGGAGCTGGGGATGAGGGGTTCGGCATGTGGGAGAGGGCTCTGAGTAAGGCAGGAGTTTGGGGTGTGGGAAGGGGGTACAGTCAGAAATGAGAGGTTCAGGGTACAGGAGGGGGCTCCAGGCTAGGGCCAAGTGGTTCGGAGTGCAGGAGGGGTACCGAGCTGAGGCCAGAGGTTGGGGTGTGGGATGGGGTACGGGCTCCAGGGTCGGGCCAGAAATGAGGGGTCAGAGGTCAGTAGGTTGGAGGCAGTTTGGGGTGTGAGCTTCAGGAAGGAGTTTGTGTGCAGGATGGGCTCATGGCTGGGGCAGGAGGTTGGGGTTTGGGAGGGGGTCAAGGCTGGGGCAAGGGTGCGGGGGGGTGAGGGCTCTGGGTGGGTCTGGCCTGCAAGAGGGGACTAGGGCTGGGACCGAGGGGTTCAGAGTGCAGGAGGGTGGAGGGACACATGGGGCTTGGGTAGGGGAAGGTGTGCAGGGCCACATGGGGGTAGCTGAGTGGGGGCACAGACACATATGGGGGAGGGGGTGCAGGGACACATGGGGCTTGGGTGTCTGAGTGGGGGTGGAGGGACACATCAGGACAGAGACAGATGGGCCTGACTGAATGGGAGAGGCTAGGGGTCAGCCAGGAGCTGCATGGGCAAAGCTCCCTAACACTCACTCCCCACCCCCCCCAAAATCTGGTTTCATATTTTTCCCACTCACACCAACAACTCTCCAAGTTCGCAGCGAGGCTCCTTCCCAGCAATTACTTCCCTCTCCTTCAGGTCCTCCCTCAGCATTTGCACTGTTTCTGAGGGGTGCAGACAACAGTTCTGAGGTGTAGTTTAAATGAATTATTACTCAGAGTTCTGTATTAATATGTCTTGTAAGGAATCTATTTGTCAAAAAAATAATTCCTGAATCTTTTTTGTTGTCTGTATTGGCACAGACATAGTTGCTGGCGGGTATTTAAATGACCAAAACAATGAAAACTGGTGTGATTATATTGTTATTTTTGACAAATAAAATATGCAGAATTTTAAAATAGTGTGTGCAGAATTTTTAATTGTTTGGCACAGAATTCCCCCAGGAGTAATATATTTGACTAAACAGGATTATCACCCGCAGTCATTGTTTTGTAGACTTGATGTAGCACACGGTGCATTTTAATCTGTTGCAGGAGCCCAAATGGTATCATGACGAACAAAGAGATCATCTGGGTTCATGGAAACTAGGGTTTAGGAAATTCTAATGGCTGCACAGGTATGCTTCTGTTTATAAATACATCTCTGTGAAATTAAAGAGGTCTTTGTTTTCATTTGCTGTTTGCTCTACATCTTAAAACAAATGTAAATTGACTAAAAGTGCCACATGCATCTTGAGAGTTAACTCTCTTTAATAACATTTGATGCTAAAATACAGGAAGTTCTTTGGAATAGCAAAGTCAATTCAGATCCATTCAATAACCAAAGGCATAATCTGAAAGACAGTACTAAAGAAAGAACAATTGTGTGAGCAATACTATGTAAGTGTATCAAACTATCAAGTAGCATGTCAGAATGTTTTTGTTGCCATAAAGAGCTTTTAACTTGCTAGTACAGCGAGCAAGTGTCTACTTGTCTGTGTACAATACCATATAGATTACATACACGATGTGGAAGGCAGGGTATAAACCTAAGTTTTTGATGGCCACTTTACTGAGGACTGGTAAAAACACCCTTAATAATTCATTAATATCTCAAACATGTGTCAATAAAATCTTTGTACCATGCTACTATGTGATGTATGTATACTTGGGCATTTGTACAGCAAAATTATCACAGAGGGTTTTTTTTTTTTCATTTAAGACACATTTGTACTATTTTCATATCCAGTTCTCCATAAAGCCTGGCTTAACACCAGACCTCAAAGGAAGAGAAATAACTGATAAAATATATAAATCTTTTAAAAAACCTAAAACAATATTTCAGAACTTAATTGAGTTGGCCCAAGGCCCAACCAAGGCAATAGTGAATCCCTGGCCAGTGACACATTTGAGGTCTGATAACTTGGGCTCTACCAAAAGCTATTTATGGAAAGGGGAGAGGTTCTCACTTTCTAAATATTCCTAGCCTTAACAGCTCATGAGATACTAGACTTTAAACCTACCTTGGTCCAGGACTGATCATCACAGATGAATGTAGATATGATGGGAAATACCAAATGTCGAGGGATAGAAAATTAAATAACATGACAGTTTTTCTATTTTCTTCATAGAGTTGACAGATGGTTGAAAATGCTTAGAGCATTAGTAGTAGCCCTAGCAGAGATGGATGACTAGGCATGATAAATACAATTCATCGCAAGGCTTGGTCTATTTTGAGCTGCAGTTTCACTGGTATAGAAATACAGGGAATGAAGGGAGTAATGCTGATGTTGCTTAATAGAGAGTTCTTGAGAATCTGTAGGGTCTGCTTTAGATCCAAACATAGATCTTTTTCTTTTCGACATTGCCCTGCCAAGCTGTTGTTGCTGAAACAAGATTAGGTAACTGCTCAAAACCGCTATACAAATACAAAGCCAGCGAATAAGGCTAACGTGCTAATTGAGAAGTTATTAGCAGGTGAGTAGCCAACATAGGGCTATATGGGGGACAGATAATTTTCAGATAAAGGTAATTCAGATAACTGGAATTATACTGTACTTGTACATATATAAACTGTATTTAAATTAAATGTATTTAAGGGGATGTAATTTTTTGTATAGGTGCCAGGTTGACTGTCTTGGAAAGTGAAGCCCATTTTAGGTATCAAACAAGTAGAGTTAAAGATTATGCCAGAGAGAAGCTGGAAAAGAATAAAGAATTGATGGGAGTGATTTATTCCCCCAATGAGAAATAACAGAAGTATTATGGCTTGGATTGTATGCGAGTGTGGACAGATAACGAACTGCTTAAAGGACACCGTATTTTCTCACTGAGTGTGACATAGTAAGGTACCACATAAACAATACGTGAAGTTTAATAACTACATAAAGGCTGCATTCACTCCTTGGTCTTTGTGCAAACCTCCCTTTGACATCAATGGAAAGTCTGTTGTGGACTGTAGGGAGAATATAGAGTCCTGAATTGATAGTCCAGCCCCAGACTGCAGTTAAAAATGGCATCTCTCTCCTCTGAATTAGGTTGATAGCCTTCCTTCTACAGGCAGGTCTTGAACTGAATAATATGCTTCTACCTCAACTAACTTATTTTTGTTTACATTAATTTACCTTGTTTCCTTTTCTAGATAAGTATATATTTATATAAGCATCTAAAAATAGGGTCTTATAACAGAAAGCTTTGGGCAGCCTTAATTATTGGCATCACTATCAGTACTGTCTCTAATTCTGAGTAGAGATAGCTCCACATTTTGGACACATGTTTATCTGGATCCAGATCAGAACTTCATAGATTGAGTGCCGACCTCTATAACTGGCCAAGTCAAAATCCCAGATCCAGTCACCCTCAAACTTGGGATCGTGGTAAAACTGTGATTGCTCTGGCACAATCCAGGCACAATCACAGTCATTTCCCAATGCTATGGGGGTCACTGAAAGCAAGCATCACTGTACTGTACTGATATACAAGCATCCGCGTTACCCACACCAGCAATTTAAAGCAATACGCAGCTTGTTAAAAGTAAACTAAGTAGCGAGCGTCTTGCTTAAGTGAAACCTTTTGTTACAATAAAATTATATATAGCAGAAATAGTTAAGTGTAGGGGGTTACTTTGTTTACCACTGCCGACAATTACAGGCATAACAAGCAGACTACAAAATGATGTCTGCACTACCCGATCAGTGCTGGGTACACAGAATGCTAAAAATGGAACTAGTGAGGTGACATTTGGGTAGCAGTTAAACACTCATGTAATTTTCCACCTGAATCACTCATTGACACCCATTAAGTCCCATTGCTGGGTTTCTTTCTTTTTCAGTTTAATGGCATGTTGTAAAAAGTACAACATAAGCTTAGGCCCTAGGACCCTGCACAATCTGATTCTCTGCTAAGAACTACTTTACCCAAACAAGACAATCAATCCTTTCTGATTGCCCTCATCTCTCTCAGTTCGACAGCGAGCAAGACACCAGGTAAGATTTTAAAAACAGTTCATTTCTCTGTCTGTTATTTCAGCACTGACACATTTTAAGTTCCATATACACAGCAGCAAATCACAGACAAATACCATAGCTGTGGTATCAGCAAAGACCAGATCTTTTATTTAATGCTTAAGAAATTAGAACCGGGGAAGATGAGTATTGGCAATCAGCTAAACGTCGCTTTAGCAATTGTTCCACCGCAGCATGCCTAGTGGGGTGTATGTGGTGAGAAAGAGAGAGAGAGACTGTAGTAATACTTATAAAGGTGAGTATCACTATTTAGTTTATCTTCTACACCCAGAATCTTTAGTCCCATTTCCCCATAAGTTCACTGACCTCTCTAGTGAGTTCAAAGTTTCCTAGGGATTCAGGCCCCACCTAGGCCCAACTCTCCCCAGACTCAGTAACTTTTCCCCAAGGTGATTGCCTTTCCTCCTACCCCTTTCTGGGGCTGTTTCCCCCCCTTGGCATTCCTTCAGCCTGCCTCCCAAGCATCTTGGGTGTTACTGCCTCCTCCCTGGCTGATCTTGACCCCAACACCTCCTGTTCTCAGCAGCCTCTGAGATGAGTGGTTACTTGGAGTCAGCTGCTTGGGTTTTTTTACTGTCTCCCTCCCCAACCATGTGGCTAATGTAATATATTGTTCATAGCGCTTTATTTTAGATGTTTTTGAATTTTATATACTCATTTTTCTATTTTATTTATTTCAGTTTAATGGATGGTTTCTTTGATTTTTCATTTTATTTTATACAAAAGGTTCAACAAATGTAGGGTCAGCAGGCACCAAGCACTCCCACTCACCCCAAGCCTGACCCTGGAGTTCCCATCACAGGCTACCCACCCCGTCTCTCTCCTGCGTGCACCAATCTGCTCTCTGCAGAGGGCTGAAGGTGTGCAGCCCCTGGTCAGGAGAAACAGATCAGCATGCTCCTTGGGCTGATGGGCAGCAGCCAGGAGAAAGCAGTCAGTCTATCCCCTCTGGATAGCAGCCAACGTGGTCCCAATCAGACATGTAATAGAAAGGGCAACAGCGAATCAGGCCTCTGTCACGCCTGAAAACTTCCCCATGGCCAGTTACGACGTCTAGAGGTCATTCTCCCCTTCACCTGGGGAGAGGAGGGAGGAGCTTTTGCACCTCATGCAAGAGTTTCAAGTCCTTGGGTTCACAGTGTGTAAGATACAGCTCAGTACAAACTTGCAGTGCTGCAAGTGGCTACAGCTCCACTGAAGTCAGCGAGTTTAGAGACGAGCTGAATTGGGCCCATTACAATTTACGAGGATTGCATTTGCTTTAAACATGAAAATTCATTGACAAACACGGCGGGGAGCCCATTCTGTTTATGCTTAACTAGTTCTCTAGCTACAACTGTGCAGGTAGTTTCAGAAGAGATTCCCTACCTTTTTTAAAAAAGGTCATATTTGTTTGAAACAATTCAAGTTTAATTTTTCTGCAGATGTTTTGTATCGACAAACACTGAAATCTCTACAACATACACAATGTAATTGTGAAAATACTAAATTAGTTCTTACATATACTGATAAATACATTTGCTCCAGAATACCAAAGAGTTTCTTTAAAAATTTTACTTCAGAAAAGCACATTTTTGCAGATTTATCTAAAACTCCATATAGTTCTGAACAAAAATAAGATGCCTGACCACTCAAAACAGGATAAGACAGTCTTGTGGAAATAGACATATCACATTCTAGGCATTCTGAAAAAAGTATGACTGGTTAAATACTTGTTCTTAAGATTAACCCAGAAACTTTTCCAATTCTGAACATTTCCCATTTTTGATCCTCACATTTAAAGGAAATCGAGACAGTAACATAGTCAAATTTTACTGAATAATCATTGGTTTGTTTTAGGAAAGGCACAGTGATGAATTAGAAAATGTTTACTGTGGGGAAAGAATCTTTTAGCAAACTTTTTATGTTCCCTTTATAGGAACAACAAAAACAAAACAAACATGTAGCATCTACAATTTCTACTTTCTGGAAGTTTAAGTCAACAGAAATCAGAAACAAAGATTAATCTTCCTTAACAGAGCCAAATAACCCCCAACAAATCCTAAAAAGGTTAGTTTATACCCAATATCATTGTCATTAGCTGGATCACACTAGTGCTTGGACGCATTACTTTAGTTTAAGGGGTCAACATAAACTTGGACTTTTGGAAAATGAGTAATTGCAATAATATCCACTCTCTGTGATCCAGCTTTAATAAGCATGCCCTGCATTCAAAAAAGTCCGTTAATAAAATTATAATTTTTCTGTTCTCCTGTTCGTGTTTATAAGAATCTATTCAACAAGGGAGAAATCCCTAATCCTGAAGACCCTAATCCTTCAATGAGAGGTGCATAGATGAACCACTGCACCTGCACAGAGCCCCCACAGAAAGTCAGTGCAGGATCAGTGCAAGATTGGGGCATTACTGATTGACTGGACACATCATTTCTATCATGTGCACAAGCTAAACAAATTTAAAAAATATTTTCTTTACGTGATAGTTATCTTTCATGTTACTTGCAGTGATCGATCGATTATCTTCAATTGACTGTGTTCCTTTATAGATACTTTGCACTGATAACAAACAATGGTGTTAACTTGTTTTAGGGTTAATCTTGGCAAACAGTAGACGTTAAATGTGATCAA